ACGGTGCTGTAATGCCCTCTTAGTTTGTACATCTATGAGATACCGGTGACTGCTGTAAGTAGTCTCTCTCTCTCTCTCTCTCTCTCTCTCTCTCTCTCTCTTCTTTTTCAGATGTTCTTCAAATATTTATTCTTTGTTAAAAAGCATTTATAAATTTTAGTTTCCATGTTAAGAGAGTTTTGAATTAAGAGAGTTTTGTTGATCTCCTTTTCATTAATATTGTTTCAGGAGTCCCCTAAAGATGAAGAAGGGGTTGTTAGAGCCGTCAGAAATGTGCATGCAATGATAGATAAGGAGGTTTCTGCTGGTATTAGCCCAGAGAACATATTTGTTTGTGGATTTAGTCAAGGAAGTATGCTCTATATCAATTTATATGGTTATTGTTGAGCCTTGAAAATGATATACCTATCAATCATAACTTTCCGGCTATTAATTTTCAGGCGCATTGACCTTGGCAAGTGTGTTGCTGTATCCAAAAACTCTAGGTGGCGGTACAGTCTTTAGTGGATGGGTTCCATTTAATTCTTCAATTCTAGAGAAAATTTCTCTAGAGGCCAAAAGGGTACTAGTTTTGAGTTTACCAACATTTTTTTTGAGTTTTTCTTAGAATATTGTATTTTGGAATATGTTTCTTTAGAAGAAGGGGATGATGTCATAGTTTTTCATTGTATACATGCATTGATTTATGAGTTGTCTACTCAAACTACGAATATTATGAGTATGTTAAAATTGATCCTCCAATTTATGCATTGATTTTTGAGTTGTCGACTCAAACTACCAATATTATGAGTATGTTAAAATTGATCCTCCAATTTACAACAGCATCTTCCCATCTTTCAATATGAGCATAAGCTCCCTAAATTAGTTGATAATAAGAGTGATATAAGTTTTCTTCGTATCACTTTTGCTCAGATGAGATGGGTAGTTTTCTTCATTACTTTCAGGTGTTTATGTATAATCACAAATCGCTAATCGTAAGCAACCTGATGCAAAGCATCACCATGTTTTTCCTGTAGAAAGACTTATGGCTTATTAAGCAGGGTGAGGGCCTTAAACTTTTCCTTAACTCATCATATATCTGGGTAAAAGGCTTGGGTTATGTTGGGTAGGCAGCCACCATAAAACTTTGCCAAAACTTATCATGAATCTTGAAATCTGCTTATGGTAGGGTGTTTTCCAGAAGCAATGTACTGAGATATGGGGACTTATGGCCTCATTGACGGTATGACCCTTAATAGAGCTAATGGAGGATTAGGATTCGTGTAGCAGACCCCAATTAGTTGGAAAAAGGCTTTGACGATGATGATGACGAACCTTGAAAGTGATGTTGTTTTTTATTCTCTTCCTTTTCTCCTGAATCGTTTGTTCCCTTAGTTTTATTCTCTCCCTTAGTTTTCCTTCAAATGTGGTCAGAAATATTTATAGTTCACGAGCTTAAGCGAGTATTCTTTGGTTCAAGTGTAGACTCTAAAAGCGCTAAGGGAAGCTTAAAAGGACATGGATAGAAGTAGTGAGAAATGATATGGTGTCTTATAGTCTTACTGAGAGTATGGCATTTGATAGAGCTGAATGGTGGAACAAGATTCATATAGCCTACCCCAGATTGTTGGGATAAGGCTTGGATGCTGATGATGAAGCCTAATAGAGTCTTCTACATCAATTTGGTAGTATTCAAGGTCTTTAACGTTCAAGAAGGCACGCCTCATTTGGAATTAATAATTAACAAACCACCTGAGTTCAAATATCATATACATAAGTTATCTTTATCCAGATTCATTTCCTTGTCTGATCTTGCAGTAGTTGGCGTTCATCAATATTAACTCATTCAAAGCCGGTTTGAGTGATTACTCTAATTTTTTGTCTTGTTGATTCACCAAGAGGCTCTTTAAAACTTGACATCCTGGAAATATGGGTTGCTCCTTATTCCAGGTCAGATACATCGTTAGCAGGTTAGGTAATGAATGCACTCTCTTTGCTATGTCATCAATTGGCTTGACTTGAATTATTATTAGATGCTTGAGGTGGCTTCTGCAGTATATGTGGAAGATTCTTTTGGGGATGAGTGGGATAATAGCTCAAATGTTTTCTTATATAGAATTCTCTTCTAAAAGGGATATTTTATATCTTATTGCTATATTCCATGTTTCTTATTGTGACACTTATTACAACATTTCTTGTATCTCACCTGCATATGATTATGTGGAAGGATAACATTTATTAGCCTTTTTGTTAGATTCCTTGAAACTTCTGATTATGCTTTCTCATGGTTTCCTTCTCAGGTTGCTTCATTGTTTGCCTTTCATCTCACTTTTAGATGTTCAGGTGCCAGTTCGGCAAACTGTCACTATCTGTGTATCTTTCACCTTTGTTTCTTATGCTCTCTTTATGTCATCATTTGTTTCATTCTCCAAGGGCACCAGTCCAAATGTATATAAACCATAGTTACTGGAATCTCTCCTCGGACCCCGCGATTCTGGTTCTGAAACCCGTTTCCGCATTTCCGTTAAGGAAACTCCATGGAAACCGTTTTTTTGAACAAACGAAACTCGATTCCTTTATTTCGGAATCTCGATTTCGTACCTAGGTGCGAACCTTTTTTTTGCAAAATAGGAAACTCGATTCCTTAATTTCGGAATCTCGATTCTTCACATATGTGGAAACCTATTTTCAGAACCAGGGAAACTCGATTCCTTAATTTGGGAATCTCGATTCAACACTTCTTTTAAAAATATTTTTCGGAACCAAGGAAACTCGATTACTTAGTTCCGAAATCTCGATTCCTTAATTTCGGAATCTCAATCCAACAGATCTACAGAAACTTGAACCCCCTAATTGTGGGTAGACGCTTCCAAATAGATTGAATCTGGCTTCCAACGAGGTTTAAATCTTGATTCCATGTTAAATGATACACGATTCTACATGTAATGGAACTCGTTTCGTCAGGGTTTTGAATCATCCACACCGTATAAAACATTGGTTTCTTGTAAATAATAACCACAAAAATAATGTTTTATTTTCTAGTGGATATCATGCTTTAAGGTCCCAAACGATAGCATTAGGCGGCATGTGTACTTGAAGGGGGTATTATTATTTATAAGGCATGTATTTTAGAAGGAATTAATGAGATTGTGTTGCTTTTTTAGTTATCTGTATTATGTTTCTTGTATTTGCATTGATGTAAGCCGTTATAGTTTCTTTACCTTACTCATAGTTATGTGAATTGCTTAAGTGAACTTGCACCATGTCTCGCTTTGCAACATAGCTTAGTACTGTACTACCGATTGCAAAGTGGTTATTAGTAATGTTATTTTTACTTTTTTTTGGCTTGATTTAAATTCGTATAGAATAATGTTCCTTATATTTGCGGTGATGTAAACTGCCTTGGTTTCTTATTCTTGCTCATATGTTATGTGAAATGATTTAAATGGCCATAGAATAATGTTCCTTATATTTGCAGTGATGTAAACAGCCTTGGTTTCTTAATCTTGCTCATATGTTATGTGAAAAGACTGCTTAAGTGATCTTACACCATGTGTAGCCTTGCAACATTGCTTAGTATTGAAATACTGAATGTAAAGTGATTATTAATAATGTTAATTTTATTTATTCGCTTCTAATTTAAATGCCTATAAAATTTTGAAATCATTTAATAACATATAAAACAACACACATGGACTGATAATTGATAGTCTAGAATTTATATATTGTATAATAAAAAAAGTTGAGAGGGAAGGGGAGGGGGATGAGGGGGGCTACGACTTGTATCTTCTTCTACTCTTTCGGGTTGCTTCGAGGAACTTCTGTGTAAATGGTAGAAGATGTTGGAGGAACTCGAACTGTAGCAGACGATGGAGACGCTCTTGGGACGATAGAAGATGATGGATGCACTCTTGGGGCGGCGCTTAGTGAAGGCTGACCGAGGATGCGCTCAATGGTACCTTAAGTTGCCAATACATCGGGGTGGCTTGGAGTGCTAGGCACCTCTCTTGAATTACCCGATGGAGTGACAGATCCTAAAGGCTGTGTAGACACAACTCTGTCATCATCAACATCAAGGCGTGCATCCAACGATTCGAGAGCCTCTATGTCATCCTCGAAGTGATCGTCTTCAAGATGAGAGTCTCAATTCTTACATTTCACTTTGTAATTCGCTCGCAATCTGCTCAACAGTCTGTCATTGTAATGAACATGCACCAATGATTCGGAATGATCGGCATTCAACCGATTTTGTTTAACATTGTGTATGTAGCTATACGTGCTCCAACATCTCTCTGCATATGAGGAATTAAAACTTTGTGACAATACCTTCACCGCAATTGCATGCAATTCTGGAGTACCACCATCATACATGTCCCACCATGACACTGCTTCCATAGAACCCTTATCAACAATAGATGGGGAGACAGCGAAAACCCCTCTATTCCCAAGAAATCGCCAATTTGTTGCCGCAGCTTCCTCGTTCCATATCATCTAGAATCGGTACATCAAGGACTGTGTGGTAACATGCATAAACTTCTGGGTCCTGGTGGGGCTTCATCATCCTTTCACCCCTAGGTGCTGGTGTAGCCAACCACTCTCGTGAATAATACTTAGGACTGAGAAGGAATGCCAAACAATGCAACCGAAGATTTGATCTGTCCCAATGAGCCACGG